GGATTTGTTTGTTTTTTTACCTACCGGCCCCGGCATCATCCAACACGTAGATGCGTTTCGCAACGGTTCCACTTAATATAGTGGGACTAAGCTTTGAATGCACCGTCCCATGAGAAATAAAACTTCAAACAGCTCTGGGATGTCCGCGTCAATCAAGTCTCAATGTAGAATCTGCGGAGCCGAGTACGAGCCACAGTCTTTTGACATTCGGACAAGCTAAGCATCAACCCACTTGCATCTGCTAGCCACTACACTTTCATCGAATCCCGACGTTAACACAGATGCTGGTCAAAAGAATCAGTGTGGAGTCAAATGCTGCAACGAAGTCTAGGCTGCCCTCGCTTCCTCGAAAATGATACTTGTCGGCGAGCAAGCAGATACTCTATGTCGGCAGGGTTACTGACCCATTTGTCTACGAAATTAGTAGCTATTAAATTAGTAAACTTGTTACTCAACCTCAATTGGACACCTTGCTATACGAGTCTCAGGGAATAAAAATCCATATGAATTACTCAATGACCCCACGTGGCAGCGATTCGTGGTGTTATGTGTGAATACTCCATGGTATTTGCTCAGAACCAGTGTTTATCTGACATCCGTTCGAGGTCTGTGTTTTAGTCTGCGGCTAGAATCAGGGAGTGAGAGGGAAACGCAATGGTTGACTCTACATACAATGGCTGGCTGGGAAAGCTTTCCGAACGCACCCATTGTGAAGCCATGTCTCTGTATTACATCCTTTAGTTAGAACTGAAAAGCCTCGTTTGCAATATCTTAATACTCTTCCCTACCGCCAACCGCCTGAGAGTAACCTTCTCATGGTTAGTAAGAGATGAGAATTGACAATGGGTCATGGGTTTGTTTGTGCGTGTACATGGATGAGGTCCATTGGGCATACATTCCTGGGATGAGTTTGTGAGGGACACAAAGTTACAACTGTCTTGCAAGTATGACGAATTACACGCCTTAAGTGTCCATAGATTTAATAAAAAATAAATTGTAAAGTTGCCACTGAAAATTGAACTGCCGGAATTGGCCTAGCTCTATTTATTCTTAAGCTCCATTTGGAGTTAGATGGACACAATGGCTAGACTGCCAAGAGGCAACCCGCAGAAAAACGCCAAGTCATGCCCTGAGACGATGGATTACAGATCTTTCATCTCACCTAACAACAATTCAAGATATGGCATCATTCACGCTATCCCCACATCTTACGTGCGAATACGACCTATAATATTAATTAGTTATTCGCTTCACCAACAATTGGCTCAGACACTGGGCCCGACATAGCCTTCAGAAATGAGCTTGTAACGCCATTTTCACTTGATACAGTACCTTCATACGGCGGTTATTTTCGTGGGTGGATCTTAAACTAGAGCGCGGGACTCAGGGACGACACAAGGGATGGTCTGCTGAAGATTAACAACATATTGAAGAGGGCTGAGATTGACTGTTCCGAAGAAGCCTCCAGCATTGCGGAAAATTGTGGGCGCGAAAGCGTTGCATGCTTGGTTGCAGACGAGATATTCTGGTTAAGCTAGGTTATAAGCCATATCGCTCCGCCGCCCGACATTCCCCATGGAGGATAGATCGGAAAGACTTGACACACGTTCTATTGCTTCCGAGAGATGCTCCCTCAAACCAAGCCAGTCCCTATGCCGTCAAAACAATGCGCAAAATTTTTTTTGATATTAGATGCTGATTTTCTGGGGGAATTAAAGGTTCATGCCCACACATTCTTCTACATTACTCGGAACACGGGAACTAAACACTTCTCTGTGTAGAATCTACAGAGCCGAGATCGAGTCTAATCTCTTTGATCTTGAGGTGAGTTGTATCCCCTCCTCAGCGGCACGCTTCCGATAACATAACGACAATGACAAAAATAAAGATTCTGGGAAAGAGGAGAGATATTGCGATAATAAATGCTAAAGTTGTAGCCAGGGAGGTCCATTTATTCTAGCATGTATTACGTAACGGCAGGCAAACAAGAGCCCACGATATCAAAGTGAAAGGCCACCGTATTTGATATAGCAGAATTCGACTCTTCGATACAACGTCGCTTAAAAATCCAACTTCCTATTGTGTTTTCCAGAAGGGCATTAAAGCTACAATAGATACCCAACAACCTCATGTCCTTAACGACCTTTTGAATGATAGGCTAGACTAATTCACGGTAATTATTCTCGACCAAGAATTTCCGCATAATTTTTCACTAAATTTAGGTTGTCCTGCGGCACGAATCAGGGAAAGAGCGAGAAGGAGGCTAGGGGGTTTAAGAGCCCTCATGTATATACAGATCTGCTGCGCACGGCTGGCCGGCCTCTTTGAGCGTTTCAAAAGGGTAGCTATGTCGTAGGATATGGTCCTGATTTTGGTAGGAGAGCCTCTGTCCTAGTGTTTTTTCAGATTTTCCCGACAGATAAGAACATACCAATGAATTTCGGTTTGTTGAGTGTAGAGGGAACAGGGGAGATAATGAAGGGAAAAGTGGCTACTTCAATGTTTACTCAAAATAAATATTTTTAGGGTATCACTGCCTCTACACAGCCGCGAAGTAGTCTTAGACTAGAATACACTACCAGAGGCATAGATAATATTGCCCTGCAGGCCTTAAAGACCTCCACATCAATATGTATCTAGACTTAACGTGAAGTTAAGCATATAGATAGAACGCAGCCATATTTTCGGCGGACACTTTTTATGGAATAGGTTTTCTGAATCTATTATGATCATCAGATATACTTGAGCCATTGAGATATGTCATCTTTTCTCGCACTTTATAGAGGGAGTACACTACCCGAGGCATAGATACTCCCGGCCTGTAGGCAGAAAGGACCTACATGTCCTTACATAGTTATAGACTTTTTAGGACAATAAACACTCACTCACTCACTCTCACACTTTAATCGTCTGGATGTTGAATAAGTAGCATAGTATCCTCTAATTCAACTGAGTACACAAATCTTGCTTAGTATTGCAGTGTAACGACTACTCCATTTTCATATTTCTTTTCAAGGTGTACAATATATAGTTTTGATTTCGAGATATTGATGTAGTACGAGTTTCTAATTTTTTGAGAGCCTGGGATTAATTACTAGTACACCCGTAACGTCTGTTTTGTAAATCAAGTAACACTAAAACTACAAACATCTGAAGTCATAGAAAAGCAACGGTGCCCAGGGACAATGATTAAAACCTGTGAGTAGTTTCCTCTATGAGCTTGGGGGTGAAATGATATGCTAGAGCCAAGCTCAGTAAAATTTTACAATACCAAAGACGTTGGTCCACGACGCTATGATTCAAGACTTCACCACATCGATCTGTTACTCTCAATGAGATTTACTCCTACCGAAATAAAATCAAGTCTGCAAGTACGACTAAGTACATCCTTACTTGAACAACAAAACCTGTCATTTAATCAGTCTCTGTCCTAAAATGCCATTCATATACATGCCTGTAAGAATATAGAATAGAATAAAATTTAAGTACCTGCAGAGTCTTTGACTGCGCAGGAGTTCTATAAGAATATAAATACCAATTGGAGGATACGAATCGTAGTGCACAAATCCGGGAGGCAGGCTTTTTTAGGATGGATGTGAGAAAGATATGGATAAGCGGACAATGTTGTGCTAATATTGGATACGAGTCCGAAAAGGGAAGAGTTTATATTGGAGTCAGGAGATTGATAAACTGATGAGCACTGTCAGCATCAAGTTTTAGTTAGCGAGAAGGCGACACTATAACTCTAGTTATGAATGGATGATGCAGTGGCTAACCATCAAGGCCAGTCTCCCAAGTAGATTTTTGAATAGCTTGTACACCGATCCCTCTTGAGACAGGACATCGCTGGTTCGAATCTGGTACAACTGCACTATACTTCATGTGGCGCTGGTGTGATTAGATAGTCAAATACTCTGAAACCTCTCTTTGCTGAGTAATTACGGATGGTCAACTTCTTGTGTACAAAAGCATACCTATGTGTCTGTATGTTTTATTGTACTACTTGAGTCTATGACTATCTAGCACATTGGGCTCCTCTCTGACCCAGGCCACACCTTGTATAGTGCTACTTGCCTCTTTTGTTACTTGAAAGATCATTGATATGTTCCCCTTAATGAATAGCCATTCAGCTCAGTATTTGCCCGTGGAATTCGGCCACTTTTTCCACAGAACCTTCTACCCAAAAAAATAAAAATGGTAGCAATAGAAACTGCGTGCGCGGGAAAAAGTCTCAAAAAACCTGCAGCCCTAGCCAGGCGAGGCCTAGACACCGGGACCACATGAGGTGCGCATATTCATGTATATCTTCCTTCTTTGTAACTGTCGAGGCCGACTTGATCCAATCCACCATTTCCGTATCAGGCGCTGGGTACGCTCCGGAAACTCATCGGATGGCTTTACCTCCATGATCAAGGGTTGGTGATGAGTAGGGCTCCGACCCTACCATCTGATCTGATCGTGGTTAGCTTCATGATAGTGGTGATAGGGGAATGTGTTGAGAGATGAATACGATACAGGCCGCGAAAGCGTTTGGAAATCCTCGTCGAAGTGAGAACTTTGTTATTCAATCTCGGCTCTGCAGACTCTACAGTGAGAGCTGGAGGTTCGTAGGGGACACCACTGACAGGTGTTGAGAATAGTCCCCCACAAGCATACCTCTTAGTGGTATTTGCGAATTAAATGCAGAGTATGAGTGGTTCTAACATGCATTCAGGCATCCAACTGATAAAAATAACACCAATCATGTGTTATAGCTACATATCTGTAAATATTTAAACGATACAAAAAATAAATACAAAAGGCACTTTTGCAGGCTCCTACAATGTCATGTTAAGATCCGCTGGTTGTTGAGTGGAGGACATGCCCCGCGCGTTACATGGTGGGCGGTAGTGTCGACTAGTCGCGATTTGGCGTGTTTAGTCGCGTTATTTTAAACATCAATCAACATGACAATCTACAACATCGCGCGTGCCCGGAAAATTCTAGTCGAATAAGGCAAGATGAGGTCAGTCTTTATTGTAGAATATCAGCTTACAATTCCAAATACACCTTTTACTAACCATCTTACAGCTCAACATCGAGAACAGACGATGTCTCCAGTCGCAGGACTGGCCCTGGTCGAGCGGGTCTTAAACGTAACAGGGAGCCTGATGATGAAGATGGACTAAGTGCTCCCTCTCCGGCTGTAGATTTTAGGTCTTCTCCTCCCGCATACCCAATCCAACATGGCGTTGATGATGACGATGTTGATATGGATGAGGAAGTTGCTCTTGATATTGATGATATCGACGAAATGGCCGACGAAGAAGACGGCATCGACCTTTTTGCAGATAATTTTGAACGCGATTATGAACCACGGGAGAACGATAAATATGATGAAAAGGGCATTGACGATGAGGGCGAGTATGCCGATTTAGATATAGCAGAAAGAAGGCGATTAGAAGCCCGCTTAAATCGTCGAGATCGCGAGCTGTTACGAGCAAGGCGCCTGCCTGCGGCCTTTCTTCCCGATGAAGGTGATGAGGCAGATCTAGACCTTACTCTTCAGCCTCGACGTCGTAGACATCACTATGATGAAGAAGATGATGAGGATATGCAAGATGACATAATGGAAGAAGAACTCTCTCTGGAGACTCTACAAGATGTCAAAGCTTCAAGCTTGGTCGAGTGGATCTCTCAACATGCAGTTCAGCGAACAATCAAACGGGAGTTCAAAGCGTTTTTGACTGAGTACACCGACGACCACGGGGTGTCAGTTTATGGTGGTCGAATCCGGACACTTGGAGAGATAAATGCGGAATCGCTAGAAGTTTCATACGATCATTTGACATCGTCAAAGGCAATTCTAGCCTTTTTCTTGATCAGTGCACCCGGAGAAATGCTTAAATTATTTGACGAAGTAGCCATGGACGTCACACTTCTCCACTATCCAGATTACGAGCGAATTCATTCTGAGATTCATGTTCGAATTTCGGACCTACCAGTCCATTTCACTCTCCGACAGCTTCGCCAAACGCATTTAAACTGTCTAGTACGTGTCAGTGGAGTTGTAACTAGACGAAGTGGAGTCTTTCCACAGCTGAAACACGTAATGTTTGACTGTGGAAAATGTGGCGCCCGTCTAGGACCATTCCAGCAGGAATCAAATGTTGAGGTTAAAATCTCGTACTGTCAGAATTGCCAATCTCGAGGGCCGTTCAATTTAAACTCAGAAAAGACTGTCTACCGGAACTACCAAAAGCTAACCCTCCAGGAGTCACCAGGCACAGTTCCAGCAGGCCGTTTACCACGTCATCGCGAGGTAATTCTTCTATGGGACCTCATCGACAAAGCAAAACCAGGAGAAGAGATCGAAGTGACTGGTGTTTACCGCAACAACTATGACGCCCAACTTAATAACAAGAATGGCTTTCCGGTATTTGCTACAATCCTTGAAGCAAACAACGTAATTAAGTCCCACGACCAGCTCGCAGGATTTAGGCTTACAGATGAGGACGAGAAAAAAATACGCACATTGGCTCGGGATTCACAGATTGTCGAAAAAATTATTCAATCTATTGCTCCGAGTATTTACGGTCATACGGACATTAAAACAGCCGTTGCTCTTTCGCTTTTCGGAGGTGTCGCTAAGGATAGACAAGGAAAGCATCATATTCGTGGTGACATCAATGTGCTTCTTCTCGGTGATCCTGGTACTGCAAAGTCACAAGTTCTAAAGTACGTTGAAAAAACAGCACATCGAGCAGTATTTGCAACCGGACAAGGTGCAAGTGCAGTAGGTCTCACTGCGAGTGTCCGAAAAGATCCTATGACCAGCGAGTGGACTTTGGAGGGCGGTGCCCTAGTCTTAGCTGACCGGGGAACATGCTTGATCGATGAATTCGATAAGATGAATGACCAAGATAGAACTTCTATCCATGAAGCCATGGAGCAGCAGACGATCTCGATTTCTAAGGCAGGAATCGTCACTACCTTACAGGCTCGGTGTGGCATAATTGCCGCAGCAAACCCTATCGGTGGTCGCTATAACTCTACAATACCTTTCTCACAAAATGTTCAGCTTACGGAACCAATTTTATCGCGTTTCGATATCCTCTGCGTTGTCCGAGACACGGTAGATCCTAGCGAAGATGAACGTCTCGCTAAGTTTGTAGTCGGATCTCACAGTCGCTCACATCCGTCATTCAAACCTGTAAAAAGCCCTGCTACGATGGGTAACGAAGAATCTTCTAGAGTGATGGACGGTAATTCACGGAAGCAGGCCGGCGAAATTTCCCAAGAGCTACTTCGAAAATATATTCTCTATGCCAGAGAGAGGTGTAATCCTAAACTATACAACATTGATGAGGACAAAGTATCCAAACTTTTTGCTGATATGCGAAGAGAGTCCCTAGCTACTGGCGCTTATCCAATTACAGTGAGTTAAAGTCTCTATATCTAGTCCGGGTACAGAAATTGCTAACTTTGTGATAGATTCGCCATCTCGAAGCCATCATGAGGATTAGTGAAGCTTTTTGCCGCATGCGTCTCTCTGAATACGTCTCGTCACAGGATGTGGACCGAGCAATAGCTGTGACAATTGCGTCGTTTGTTGGCAGCCAGAAGATTAGTTGTAAGAAGGCTCTCTCCCGCGCCTTTGCCAAGTACACGCTCGCTAGGCCAGGAGCTGGCTCAAAATCAGGCGCCACTTATAACCTAGAAAGAAGTGAACGTGCTAGTCATATGGCCCCTCTAGCTGCAGTCCAATAAAGATTATGTTTTTTCCAACTCACAACGATAAAGAGAGATGAGTATGAAAGGAGGGTGAAAGGGCGCTGGCGCACCACGACTTGGGTAGAAGATTGGCGCAATATTCAGCTTGAATATACCTAACGCTATATCCACATTACGTGCGGAGTTTTTGGATGGATTGGCCGAGACATGGGAATTAATCCAATGAGCGCTAGAAACTGATGTTTCTATGGATTGCTGAGGATGGGGCCAATTTTCTGGCTCCAAGGAAGCGTAATTCAGAACGTAGGGCCAAAGAAACTGTACATAGCTTCAGAATCACTTATATTCGAGCCACTAAGTTCTCAACAATCTAATTAGTCACGACTTTAATTTTATGGAGCCTACAGTGGAATGATGATTCAATATTTCGTGCGGCTGGACATCATTAGCGGAGGCAGGGTTGATCAGCAGCCCTCTCACTTGGGTCAGGAGCTCAAGAACTCGTATACCGTACGCCCCATACCCTCTCCATGTGCTGGTCTATTATGATGTCGCCGACCACCTTTGATGATAGAATTATCAAAAATCTGCCATGTAAAGGCACCAGCAGTCGTGGACGAACTTCATGTTTACGAAACCCTCTTGAGATAATGACATCAATGAATGTGGGCTGACGCACGAATATCGCATGTATCCAGGATTTCCGGTAAAGGTGGGTCTAAAGCAGCGAAAAGCTAACTTTATCTGGTATTGAGAACATCATCCTCTTCAACACTATGTAATGATGTGGTATTTAGTTTATTCACCTGTTCGAATTGTCTTAGTCGAGGCCCGCGACCCAATAACGGACAAGAGTGGGTGGACACCGTATAGACCATGTTGCAAAACGAGCCTTGTTTGTCCGCTCCGCCTATAATCCTCCCAAAACAGCCTGCATGGGCATCAAGATAATTGTTTGGTTTGGTACGGTTAATGTACCAGGAAATTCCTTCATCCACTAGGCGTGACACGGAGGGCAAGACTTAACACCTGTACGCGGTGACCTCTACGAATCTGGGAGTGAAATATTCCCCCAGAGCCAAGTTCAGTCAAATTTCGCAATATCGAACAAGTTGGCCCACGAGGCAATGATTTAAACTACTCCACCACGTCAAATCTTCACGCCCAAACACTCCGATTCATACCTAAGCCTCATCAAGTTTACAAGTACGACCAAGTACATCCTTATTCCAATGACCACACCTCTTGTCGACTTTCTCTGGCCTCAGCCGGTCACCAAATACACGCCCACGCCGATATTCACACCCGACGGAGGAAACAAAGTGTGGCGCACAAATCTGGGAGCTAGTTCTTTGGAATGGACGTGAAAGGGATAAGGACAAGTTCACAAAATGGTGCAGAGGATGGATACAGTCTCGGCGGGCGTGAAATCTCGAATTTTGGCAAGGAGTTTTTACAAATTCAGCTTTGTGCGTGCCAAGTCTTCGGTTGCGAGAGTGCAGGCGACACTATAAAAACTGCCATCGTTGGATGTGCAGTGGTACATCGTCTTGGCCGGTCTGCCAAGTAGAGTCTGGATAGCTTGGACACATATCCCACTCGAGACAGTAGATCACTGGTTCAAATCGGGCAAAACACAACCACATTTCTCGCGGCGCTGGTGTATATTGATGACGAAGGCATGCTTGGATAATCAAAGGTTTTTAAATTCCCTTTGGTGGGTACTTACGGAGCAGGGTCGACTATTTGTGTAAGCAAGCATACCTCATACTAGTATTTGCACATGAAATCCAAAGTATGAGTGTCTCTAACGTCAAAAGATTAATTCAACATGAATACGTAGTACTGGTCATGTGTCATAGCTCTATAGCTGAATACACATTAAATGATAAAAAAAAAGCTCACGTGCTGTGCGCAGGCAGAACGTTAAATATTAGAAATAAATAAACTATTCTTTGAGGTCAGCATTGCCTTACGGGGCTCCCATTCATCGTGCAGGCCACGTCCACGACCAAGTACTTAAGAACATTGAAGGACTTTCAGCCCGTGCGGATCCGGAGACACATTCAACCTTCGACCACGAGACAATATCTGGCTTCGTCCAACTCTCGTCATCTCAAAGACGTCACCCAACTCTAAAGCTGCCCAAATTCAACGACTAGAATGCTGAGGAATTTTTTCTAACTCTCTCCGCGGCCGCACCTCCTAGCCTTTCCTTTAAGGACCCAACCCTTCAGCGCCTAGATGCGGCTACCTCATCGGGATTCGGCGCTCTCTATGATATTTTTGAGCGCGCGTCGTTTACTTAGTAAATGGTAGTCGTGGGTGTAAGAATGGAATAGAATTCACGTGGTGTCTCGTGGCTCCTGACTACAACGGATGTTGTGTAGAGCTTGAGACAAATACGTGAATTATATTCCATACTTACACCCACAACTACCATTTACTAAGTACACAACGCGCGCCCAGAAACTTCAAAAATATATTTTTGAAGGGTAAACCTGATTTCTAAGTTTTGAAAATAAGATTCTGATGAGAAATCGCCAAGATTTAATCGTTAATATGTTAGAGAAAAGTGATGCATCAACAATTGTTAGCGTTAACTCAAATCTATTCAATAACACAAAACCACGGAAAAGCTTTAGCGAAAAATACAAGCTCAAGGTAGATGAACATGAAAGGTCACAGGATGCACAAACTGAGGAAGTCCCTTACTAAATCGCAGAATTGAAAAATAGGACAAGCTCTCAAATGGAGCAATTTGATAGTATAATGGATCAATTAAAGAGTAAAATGGACCACATCGAATTATTGTTAATCGACATCTTGTCAATGATATAAGGGGGTCTACGGGAACGAACTGTCTCCAAGCCTAATAGTCAGACTACAAAGTCCTCGCTCGCCGGAATTTTTTCTACACCAGTCGTTCGAGATGATGAGTGTGAAGTACTTGCGAGACCTTATTCGAATATTCCAGAGGAAAATACCACACCTCCAATCAATTCCAAAAATAATTCCTTCATAATGTCACATGGAGAACAATTTGCCAAGGAGATCTAACCGCAAGTCTATCCCATCAAAAATATAACACACGATGCATGCACCAGTATTGAAAACAAAGTGACTCTTCTGACAAAATATTTTCTCGATAAAGCCCACCCTATCATGCCCCCAAAGATTGCAGAATTTCAGCCAGCTCTCAAGGATACTGCAGTCTCATACTGGTATCAGTCACAAACGCGCTGGCTGGATCTAAAAGGAGAATTCCCCGGCACTCGTGTTGAGGCCCAAAGAAACTCTTCTATTAAATGGCCAATTCTACTCGAAACTATAGCTAAGGCCACGCAACGAATGAACGTCCTTTATAATCTTAGAGCCATCTACTCTCGCCTTACCACTGAGAAAGGAGAAGATAATAATTTCTTTGCTATATGGACACAAAAACGCTACTATCACCTCTATTTATAAAAAATGAAAAATCAGGGCGTCCGCTTATAACCATTGCAGGAAAGCCACGACAATCTAATAATAAACAAAAAAACATCATTTTTGCCAGAAATCTGCGCAGCCTTCTACGCTGCCCGTACCATCAATTTAACATCGTAATTAACATTATTTCATCTTCATTACCCTCCTTCCATCTTTTCGCTTTCCGTGCTCCAACACGGCGAGTGTGGGTGCTGGTGTGGGTAAATCCAGCGGTTTCGACGCGTCGCAAAATACGACAATGGCCTTAACAAACAATGGCAGCGGAGCGCAGATAGCTCCAAAGGATAGAAACCTCGAAATCGTGGGGAAAATACTAAAACAGGTTCGACTAATCGTGATGGGAGAGATGGAGAGGAGGACCTACCCTCAATGGAGGACATGAACGAGGCCGTGAAGGCCTTCAACGTGCATAAAAGGGCCTGGTCGGAAATGTCTCAGAAGAAGTCTCCTATCGAGGAGGGGATGATGGCTTTAGAGGAAGTCGTAAAGAAAGGCCTCGCAGATCCCGCTCGGAAAGCTGCTCCAGAAGTGGTTTCGGGCGCGACGACACCAAGGAGTTACACGTCGGTCGTGGCTCCCCAAATGACAAAAACAGCGGTACGAATAAGAATCGACGGCGCTCAAAACTTGCAGCCACAAGAGCTGCTATCCAAGGCACAACAACACATCCAAGGCGCATTTGCAATTCGGCAGATGCGAAGCAACGACACCGAGGTGTCTATCCAGTCATCATCTTAGAGAGACGCGGCGCTTAACATGCGACAACCAGCGGAATTTAAAATCTTGCGGCAAGACTTTCCAGTCGAGGTTTCCGGAATTGTACTGCGGACAAGAATTGAAGGTGGCAGAGATGCTAACAACTACGCCATCATCAGGGAGATTTAGACAGCGACGAAGGCACGGATTCCAGGCCTAGTAATAAGTAGAATACGATGGCTCCATGACGGAAAGGAACACCAGGGATCGAAGAAAAACGGTCGCAATCGCGGAACAATTGTGGTCAGCCTCCCATCGGAGGCAATGCAAACGGAGGTAGTTCGACAGGGCTTTGTAACTAACGTCATGCTCTTCACCGCGCAGGTGTGGTCACCACAGGCCCAGCAAAAGCAGTGTTTTAACTACGGCTAGAGGGGACACACAGGCGTCGTGTGGAAAGGTAGCTAGGTGCGGTGAGTTCGCAGGCGTTCGCCAAACTCGGGACTGTCAGAAGAAAAGGGTTTCTTGTACGAACTGCGGCAAGGAACACCGCTCATGGCAACAAGCAGCATGTCGGACCTACCAATTCTACAAGGGAAGTGTGGAGAAGGCTCACATGGAGCTGCTATCAAGAACGGCAGAAGTATGGAATGAAAATATCGGTAAAAGGATCATATTTGAGTAGTGTGAATTGTTCTATGTATTTACGGTATTCAGGTTGTCGTTAGGACACTGACAGGGGTCTAGTTTAGCTCATTAGCGAGGCGCCTGGAGTAGAGGAAGGAAGGGGAGATGGAGAGGAAAAATGAGAGACAACGTTTTATGTTTTCGAGATACCAGTTAATTGAAAT